ACAGCTGAGTTCTCATATGACTTTTTCAGGTGGCCCATTCATCATCCCTACTTCCATCCTTCTATACAGAGAATACTCTGAATGAGAAAAGCTCCTGGCTCAGGTGTCTTTCTTCCTACTGGCCCGATTTTGCTAACAAGCTGTTCTGATGCCACTAGCCCAAGTCTGTAGACTGTAAATGTTATCCTAGATGTGAAGTATAATAGAGCAAGCACTGTAGGGCTGGGAAGAACAGCCTAATTGCTATCCCTTCAGGGATGACTGGCTCTCTGGTTGGAAGAGCATGTGGACCAGGAGAGGCCTATAAATTCCCAATTCTGTACTCACTTGTCACTGTCAGAGTTTTCATTTGATGATTCGTTTTTGAAATATAGCTTGACACTAGTCTTCATATTTGGAATAGTATTAATGTTTGATCAGATCATTATCATTCTTTATTCAACAATGCAATTTACCAGATTTTGACGTTGTCTTAACTTTGGTTCTGTTATACCCAGGGACCAGCTTGGGTGTGTGTGTGTGTTCACATGTATGTGTCAATTCTATCTGATTTGATAAGTCCCCTTTCAGGTCTGTTTTTTTTTTTTTTTTGGTAATCAATAGGTTAATGGAGAGGGAATGAATAGAAATGTGGTCTATAATAAGCTGTGTGAGAAGTCATGCTTTCATTATATGTAGATATATATACATATATATGTGTGTATGTATGTATATGTGTGTGTGTATATGTATAGCTAGCTATGTATCAGGAGCTGTGTGAACTAAAAAGCTGTATAAAATGCAGTCACTGCTGTCAGTTTATTCTACATTTCTTCCATTCAGCAGGTGATAATACTACCTGGATTCATAATCCCTTGATAGTTCCCCTGGTTGACTGATTTGTCTTTCATCAGCAGTGCAGCTGAGGAAGATCTTTTTTTTTTTTTAAAGATTTTATTTATTTGACAGAGATCACAAGTAGGCAGAGAGGCAGGCAGAGAGAGAGGGGGAAGCAGGCTCCCCACTGAGCAGAGAGCCCAGTGTGGGGCTCGATCCCAGGACTCTGGGATCATGACCTGAGCCGAAGGCAGAGGCTTTAACCCACTGAGCCACCCAGGCGCGCTGCTGAGGAAGATCTTTAATCTCAACATAGTGGATTTGAATTTAATATTTTGACAGCCAGAAATAAGATAATAATAATTACCTGTTGATAATAGTAATTTGAGAATAGAAGAAAGTGGGGACACATAAAAAGATTCCCAGGAGGTGATAGGTTCTGGACAGAGTTGGGATATTTGCATGGGTCAGTGAAAAGAGAATATAATTTCAAGAGTCAATTTAATATTTCAACTAGAAGAATGTCAGTTCTTTGGTGATAGGTGGGGGAAAAGTCTTTTTTTTAAAGATTTTATTTATTTATTTGACAGAGAACACAAGTAGGCAGAGAGATAGGCAGAGAGAGAGGGGGAAACAGGCTCCCCACTGAGCAGAGAGCCCAATGTGGGGCTTGATCCCAGGACCCTGGGATCATGACCTGAGCCGAAGGCAGAGGCTTTAACCCACTGAGCCACCCAGGAGCCCCAAGGTGGGGGAAAAGTCTTATGGGAGAAAGTAAAAGGAAAAAATTGCATTCACTACCTTTCTTTCATATGAAAAGCTCTTTTTGATTTGACTGTGAATTCGGGGAGAGCAAGAGGCCGTGCTAGTAGGTTGAGGGGAAAGAGGAAGACAACACTGGTTTTCCAAAGAGTAGAACAAACTGAAGGGAAGGTGGAGGTGCAGATAGCTGTAACAGCAACTGAATGAAGTCTTTTCTCTGGAAAAATATATGTATAAAATATTTAACTCACATTAGGGATTAACAATGAATTAGTGAAAATACCCAAAGCACTTTATTTATGTAGGAAGTTTTTTTCCCTTTTAGAAAATATGCTGTTTTGGGGCACCTGCCTGGCTCGTCAGTGGAGCATGATTCTTGAAATCAGGGTCATGAGTTCGGGCCTCATGTTAGGTGGGAAGCCTACTTTGAAAAAAAAAGAAAGAAAAGTGCTGTTTTTTGATTAAAAAAAAGATTTTATTTATTTATTTGACAGAGAGATAGAGATCATAAGTAGGCAGAGAGGCAGGCAGGGAGGGGGAAGCAGGCTCCCCGCTGAGCAGAGAGCCTGATGTGGGGCTCGATCCCAGGACCCTGAGACCATGACCGAGCCGAAGGCAGAGGCTTAACCCACAGAGCCACTCAGGCACCCCGAAAAATGCTGTTTTAAAACTTAAAATCACTTTTATATGTGATTCAGTCAAAAAGTAGGTTCTAGGAGTGCCTGGGTGGCTCAGTGGGTTAAAGCCTCTGCCTTCGGCTCAGGTCATGATCCCAGGGTCCTGGGATCGAGCCCTGCATCAGGCTCTCTGCTCCGCGGGGAGCTTGCTTCCTCCTCTCTCTCTGCCTGCTTCTCTGCCTGCTTGTGATCTCTGTCTGTCAAATAAATAAATAAAATCTTTAAAAAAAAAAAAGTAGGTTCCAGTAGTTCCTTCAGGTCTCTGGAGGGGTAAGTACTATGAGGGTAAATGAAAGTGACCTGCAGGTGAGTCTCTTCTATCATCTCCTGCCAATTTACTGTGGTGAAAAGGGTCCAAGTTCAAGAATGTCATGATTGGGGGCGCCTGGATGGCTCAGTCATTAAGCGTCTGCCTTCAGCTCAGGTCATGATCCCAGAGTCCTGAGATCGAGCCCCACATCAGGCTCCCTGCTCGGTGGGAGGCCTGCTTCACCCTCTCCCACTCCCCCTGCTTGTGTCCCCTCTCTCGCTATGTCTCTCTCTGTCAAATAGATAAATAAAATCTAAAAAAAAAAGTCATGATTGATTGGATTGCTAGATGTCAGATGTTTCCAGTGGGACCAAGCTTTTCCACCTCCCTTCCCCTGAGCATACGTGGGAAGGGGGAGGAAAATGAAAGCCATTTGCACCTGTTTCTGCACCATGTGTCTCCCTTCTCCACTTGGGGGCTCTGATGGGGAGGGAGAGTACCTCCACCTGGCATTGCCTCTGAGTAGCTTTGTGGACTCCTTTGGGCTATTATGTTGGTTGGTACTTTGGCTTCTTTGGCTCCCAGCACCAGCTGATGCCCTGATCTGAGTCCCAGTTGGGCAGGCTCTATTGCTCAGTACTGTAGCTGTCTCCAGGGCATTGTTCTTGAGACTTCCAACAGGGCAGATTTGTGCAGTTTGGCCCATCTGGACAAGATCTATAACAAGTAGAGCTCTGTGCAATAAGCTCATCTCCATAGTCCACCCCCCACTACCCCCGCCTTCGAGCTGCTGCAGCCTGACACTCCAGCCCTGCCATGGAGAGTATCAAAGAGATACTCTCTGCTCCTTTCAAAGGGGTATTGCTTGTGGCCTCTCATTGGTTGGCACTACCTGGGCAGAAATGGGAAAACAGGGACTCTCTGCCCTCTTAATTTAATCTCCTCCCTTAAGCTAGTCCTTTAGTTTTGAATCTCATTGGCAGTTATAGTTAATATCATCAGTAAGATTAACTCCTGGTCCAGCTACCCTGGTCAGCCCAGAATGCTCTCCTCAAAGCCTAGAGACAGACAAGAGGAGTATAGCAGTGAACAGGAAAGAGCTGACAAGCTCAATAGGAAAAAGGGAGAAAGAAAGATGAGCTCTTGCTTTGACTATAGGATTTGCTTTGGTCATTGGATTTATTTACTTACTTTCAATTTAGGACACCATTTTGAGGATGAGAGGGAGGGAGGAAAGGGGAGAGAGGAATGAAACAGAGAGAGAGAGAGGAAGAGAGAGAGATTGGACTCACATAGTTAATTATTCTAGGTCCAGAGAAGAGGACAAGATATTTAAAAGATAATTTGATCACCTGTCTTCCAGCTGTTGGCCCTGTACTTTAATATTCCCTTTCTCAGTTCTTCGTAGTTGGGTCAGTTCAAAGGATTCAGCATACCAGACCCATGCTTCCCCATGTCCCAGTGGTATTTTAAGCCTGAAATGGGCTATTCCACACCCTTTCTATTCTGACATTTCTGGTCGCTTCAACTGACTGCCACTGACTGTGGAATGAGAAGGGAAACAAGAGAAGGGTTAAGAAATAACTCCGACTTATGGCCCTTTAACTTCTACAATTACTACCCTGAGGTTGGCCAAGCCAATGTTTGTCCAGGATAGGGGTCCTCTATATGTCTAGTTCCTTTCTAGGAATGTTGAAGCCCACTTTATCCTGGACAAGGTTGAATGGCACTATTATATGCTTACTAAAAGAGGTTAAAGAGCAAGTTAACAATGAGGGGCCCTGTGGAATAAAGAGACTTTGGCGAAAATGAAAAAAAAAAATGAAGGCCCAGCCAACAAAAGATTTTCTGAGGACAGTTTCTATATTTTACTCCTCCTGGGTCCTACTACCTTGGATCTTACTTTTCTTGAAAGTTTTCTAACATTGTTGAGAGGTTTCTTAAAAAGTAAGCATTTTTCTCTTTTTACATTCCCCAGAAGCCAAACACACTTTGCCACCATACTAGTTAGGGAATAAAACAAATATTTCTGAGACTCTAAGTTCAGATGGATCTGGAAGAGTAGCTTTTTTGAGAGTCCAAGATTCCTGCCCCCATTCTGACAGTGTTGAGCATCCTATGAGATCTGAAGACTTCTCTGTTCAGTCATATAGCAATGCCCTACCTCAGTGCAGCTTATGGCTATTCCAACCTTGCTGAGAGGTGGGAAACATGTCACTTTGCCTTCTTCCCACAGTCAAGGAAAAGTGACTGGGTCACACAGGACAGAACTTGTGGATGGGAAAAACCTCCCTATTTGAGTCTGTGGTAGGAGGGATAGAGGGCAGAGTAAAGCCAGGCTCTGGGTTCGGGGGGGGGGGGCATGGCAGGGCAAAGAATGGTGCAGGTTAAGATAACAAATGCCAGAATATGGTAGCAATGGTCTAAATATTCTCCACTGGAGAATTGGAAAACAGAGAGTCTCCAGCAAGAGAAGAAAGTCATCCTTGGCCAAATCTTATTCTCATGAGAAATGGGATAACATGGAGAAAAATTGGATTAGAACAGAGAAGCCATCTTTCTAAGTATAGCCACCACTGGCACCATGCAGTGTAGACCCACATAGCTTTGGGATTGGCCACTGAGGTTCTGAGTGGGAGATCAGAAATGAATTTTCTAAGCCCCTGATGGAATCTAATGGAGGGGTGAGGCCCACCCAGGAGGAAGCAGGAAGTCAAGAGCTGGACTTTCTAGCTCTCACCCTATTCACAGTGCCTGGTGAATATCTTCTGACCGTAGCAATTTATAGACAACCCAGTAGAAGATGTTGAAGATGAGGAAAGTGAAGGGGAAGACAGCTCGAGAGATGGTGTCAATCCTCTTGGCCTGGTCCACATAGAGTTTCCGTGTGGTTTCTCCTTCCCTTAGAAAAGGGGCTGGAGGTTGGGGATTATAAATGCCAGAACTTTCCCCAGGACCTCCATCCCTTGCCTGCAAACAGTGGCCCAGGTCATAGCCACGGAAATAGAAGCGACTTTCTTGGATGATATCTTCCTCCTGAAATTACATGGGAAAAAAGACAGCATTTGAGGTTACAGCTTTATCTAAGGATGGAGACCAGGCCACACACATCTATCTCATAGGTGATGCTATGCAGACTGGTGGCTGGGTACACAGACCCACTGCATGCTTTTTTATAGCCATAGAACTATTCATTTGATGGATGTATACTAAGCAGCTCTACATGGTGCATATGGCGTATATTATGATTCTATTTGCAGATAAGCCCCAAGCTGCCTTTTTAAAAATGTGTAACATCATTTACAGCCATCTAAAGCTCGGTGAAGTGCCAACCCACCGTGAGAAGGATATCTCAATGTAAAGTTATCTCTGGTAGTCAACAGAATAAACAGAACAATAAAACTTTTAGAATGCACAGCTAAGATATTTAGACTTGGTGAACTTGACCTTAATGACTTTCAAAAGCTACAGAATTAATTCTCCTTGTGTAGGGTATCTTTTAAAAACTGTTCATCTCAACTCAAGGCTGAAAATTAGAGAAGTGTTTTTTTTTTTAAGATTTTATTTATTTATTTGACAGATCACAAGTAGGCAGAGAGGGGGAAGCAGGCTTCCCACAGAGCAGAGAGCCCAATGCGGGGCTCGATCCCAGGACCCTGGGATCATGACCTGAGCCGAAGGCAAAGGCTTTAACCCACTGAGCCACCCAGGCACCCCAAAAATTAGAGAAGTTTTAAGTAACCTAGTGGGTCATCCAAATTAGGGTAAAGCTGATAAATCTGTTGCAAATTTATGTGCTTCTCTGTAAACCAGCAGATTTTGACAAAGGTATCAGTACCTCTAGGGTAACATTTATTACCCAATACACATTCCCTTTATGTAAAATAGATGCATTATGATGAACACATTCACACTGGGGAAGTTAATTTTATATCAGCATTAAGAAATGTAGCAGACTACACAAAGTTCATTTACTCAATATTCAGCTGACAACCTTAAGTAGCTACAACAGCTGGAGAGCTAGGAAGTAAGAACAGGAAGACAGAGACAGAGATAGAAATAGAGAGAGAAAGAGAGATAGAAACAAAGAGAGCAAAAAAGGACCAAAGTGCCTGAGTGATCAATAGAGAGAGCTTTCTTCATATGAGAGCCCTTCAGCCCCCAACTCAGAGCCTATTTACTCTTAATTTATATACAACTCAGACATGCCTAATTTTGTCTACTTCTAAAGCACACATTGCCATCAGAATTGATGGTTCACAGCCTGGAAATTAGACGTAAGACAGATAAGTACGCACCAGAACCTAAAAATACTTCATTCAAAGATGGTTAAAATTTTTTAAAGTGTTGATGTTTATAGGAGTAAAAACTTCAGCTATCTAAGAAATCACCTGAAGTGAAACACCCCCTTGTTGGATGATACCAACTACCTTCTTGGTTTGCCCAGGACTGAGGTCTTCCTGAGACTCAGGATATTCAGTGCTAAAATAGAATGGTATCCATGTATATTGAATAGATGTGCCATAGATACACATAAAATGTGGATAAAGTAGGTTTTACACACATTGTGCAGTTAGAAGGACATCATAGGGTCTTTATAATGGGACCTCTGCAACTATGGTAACACACTGAAAAGTGACTTTGTAGGTGAGATATTGGTGTTGGTGGGTCCCAGTAGCCCTTGATTATTACATCACCAGAAGGTTGAGCCTGTCATTGGGCATCAGGGGGCAGGCAAGCTCAGGCCACAGATTCAGCAACAGACCCCATTTCTTTCTCTCCTTCCTGTGGGCTCATAGGACAAACCTGGGAAAGTGTGTTGGTCTTGTTCACTGCCATGTCCCCAGCACAGTGCCTGGCATCTAGTAGGCACCCAGTAGATATCAGTTGAATGAATGAATGGACTGATGAGCCTCATGCTTCAGTATATAGGACAGGGAATGGCTTTGTTCACATGAAGCCAGCATCCTTTCAGGGTTTCAAACTAAAGAGTCTACTCAGAAGAGAGTCTTACTCAGTTACAAAGTGCTCAGCAGGAAAAACGATCACTCCTTGCCCCACCCCTGTACAATGGCTTGATGCCCATCAGCCTCTAGAAAAAGTGGCACTTTTGGCATAGGAATGAATCTAAGTCAGCCAACCAGAGAGCTTTGCTACCCTATCTTTAATTTTGCCAGTCTCTGTGGAGACAGTTTTATGTGTGTAGGCCAGAGGCAATTCACTACTGTGGCTGTGCTTTGACCCTGAGTTCTAGTGGGGCAGCCTTAGCTCTCTGCTTAAAATTACTTCCGTAATCTGTCACCAGATGCCTTGGATCACCTCACCTGTTTTTTTTCCTAGGGAGCTTGCTTCTCCCTCTCCCTTTGCCATACCCCTGCTTGTGTTTTCTCTCAGTCAAATAAATAAATAAATTTTTTTCTAAAAAAAATGAGGGAGTAAATAAAATGATTTCCTCTTTTGTTTTCCATTTCAGGGTCCCTCACACCCCCCAGTTCCCCACTGCTTATTCTGATCTCCTCAGCCCCTCAGCTAGAAGATGAGAGTGTGGAATATATTTGTTTGCAGAAGGCTCTGAAAGAGAAAGTTGAATCCAACTGCTGTTTCTGTTTCTATAGATTTAATTACTTTTCCTTTTCTCCAATCATAGTAAATCTAAAGGGAATTATTTGGAAATATTTCCCAGGCTGAAAACAAGCTGTCTCACATGGGAGAAAAAATGTGATCACTAGAGTAAGCTGCCATTGGCTCTTTTTGGTTTTAACATATTGTGTCATTTGCAGTTGGGGGAACAAAGACAAGTGGCCTGAAATCCAAGGGTGGGGGTCCTGGATATGAGTATTATTTATTTAAGCCAAATTCTGAAGAGTGTGTGTGTGTGTGTGTGTGTGTGTGTGTGTTGGGAAGAGACAATGGAGGCTTAAATGCAACTTTGTAGCTTCCATGGCTGTTGGAATAGAGTATTTTTGTTATAGCTATCTATAGGGGAGGAGGACTGGGGAACTAGAGAGTAAAGATAGTCCAAAACCAAGTTGGGGAAGGAATGAATGTACAGTGGGAAGTTGGATGTGGAGATGGGAAAGAGTGATAGCTATTCAGTGATACATACTGAAATGAATGGAAAGAAGAGAGTGAAGAATGGGGATGCTGGGGGATGGAGAGAGGCAAGCAGGGTTCTGGGACCAAACCCCTGAGAGAACTCAGCAGTGTTTTGAAATTTCTTCCATTTCTCTTATCCTGTTGATAATGGCAAGGCTTCCTCTCTGCCCAGCTTGAAAGAGAGCCCTCTCCAATGAGCCTGCTAAGATTGGTGGAATGGGTAATGTGGCTGCTCTGTTCAGAGCCCAGTGCTGGGGCCTGAACGAGACCCCCTCCCTGTGAAGCATATAGGCTAGCTAGGAAGACAAAGCAGAAATATATGAAAAGAAATTAAACTACTTAAGACAATGACATGGAAGGAAACCACCAAGCAGTAGAGATGGGTCGTTGAGGAGAGATTAGAGGACACGATTAAACCTGAAACTGGGTGAATAGCTGGCTGGCTCCTAAAATATTCCTAACTTGCTCTTGGCTAAGGGCTTTCTGAAAATCATATGGATGCTCTCCCCTTTCCTAAGAGGGCTTTTCTCAGACCAAAGACTTGCTTTTTCAGCTAGAATGGCAGGGCCCAGAGAGAGGTTCTAGAAATAGATGAACTCTGCATTAACTTTTCTAGGTTGCTCAGTGACCTCCAGGTTTCCTGCTCCGGTTCCACTGGGATGGAAATGGCTTAAAGAAACTCGAAAAGGGACATGTGCTAATGGCACAAGTTTTGATTTTCAGGTTGTATTTACATTAATAATAAGCCCAGCCCATTCTTTGCCAGGATCCGGGGGTCTAAGCAGGGCCCAGGCCGCTATTACAACTTTGTAATAATTGAGCACTTGTTATGTCAGACTCCATTATGATACCAGGATCAACTTATTTATATATGGCCAGGAGGAGATGAGCTGTAGGCAGCTGGGAGTCGGAGAGGTGCAGGGAGGGGGCGGGACTAGTGTCAACCTGGAGTATCTCTACAGTATCCTCAGCAGGCTGCTGTTGCTAGAACACCCACACAGGCAGTGTAGCTGGCAAAGGGACACTGGAGACTGGTTGGCAGCCTGTTCTTTTTCGAGGTAGGCATTGAGAAGGCATCAAGGTCAAAACACTTATCACGATTTTGGCACCTGCATGCGGGTTTAACACAGCTAAAGAGAGTATGGAGAGTTAGCCTGGAAAAGGGAGCATTCTCTTTTCTTTCCCTTCTGTCAAGTCTGTATATATATTTTTTAACCCTTAGCGTGAGATAAGAAAGGCTTTAAAAGGCTCTTGAAGGAGTCCTACTCAAGGAGATGCAGTTGTGGATCAACCCACTAGAGGGCGTGTTTCACAGAGCCTGACTAAAGTCCAGGCAAGAATTGATACATTCCAACAAACCCATAGATGAGACAGGAGACCTGCTCTCAGCAGAAAGGGATCTTAGCCAGGGACATGAGTTTCCAGAGGTAGTTTTAAAGATATTTTCAGTGTGGACATATGGTTGGGACACCCTAGGAGCAGCTGAGGTAGGAGGTAAGGAAGAGAGAAAAATCTTAGTGCTAGAGTGGCCCCAACAGGCTTGAGCCGGGGGGGTCAAATCATCATTTTCTCTACTCCCCAGAGGTCATAGTGCACCTCCTCTGGCTTGGGAGCTTCCAGATTGGGCAGAAAACAAGGAGTCACAGCTCAAGGTAGACCAGACCTGTGTCTGATGATTAAGGGGCCAGTATGTAGCTCAGCAAAAGCTTTTGACTTTGCTTATAACTGGGCACTTGCTTCTAGGAGAGTGTGGCCCAGGCACCTGTTGTCATGACAATGTACATAACACCCACTGTCTGGGTAATGGGGAGGGGCAAATTGCCTGTTGTTCAGGGCATCAAGCTATCTATTTCCCCAGGTGATCATTCTACTGTAGAAGAAATGGGGTTAACAAACAAGAGTGTGGGAGAATGACAACTCACATCCAACAACTCTGATACATCCAATTCTGATGCACCCAGTGAAGAACAGGGCAAAGAAATCCAACAGCCAGAAGAGGCACGTAGTGGTTTTTTAATTCCAGCTTAGCTTTAGGGACCCTCATATAATGCTTTCCTAGAAAGGCCCCTGTGCTTGACTCTTGAATTCTTTTTTTTTTTTTTGACTCTTGAATTATTAACCACCAGTCAATGTATGGCAACCTGGGGTATCTTCCTCTTGGGTGAGGGAGAACCAGGAGCAACCATTACTAATTCTCAAAATAATCTCATATTTTGAGATTATTACTAACTTGATAAGGTTCTAATATGAGCTAATCTTTTTTTTCAGTGCTATGTACTAGGCACTGTGCCCACACTCTCTCTTTTTTTTAATGTATGTTTATTTATTTTTATGTAATCTCTACACCCAACATGGGGCTCAAACTCATGACCCTGAGATAAAGAGTCACATACTCTTCTGACTGAGCCAGCCAGGGCCCATATGTGTCCATGCTCTTAATCACTTTATTAGACTGCCCTACAAGGATTACTGTCCCATTGGATAGATTAAAAAAAGGAATCAAAGAGGTTAAAGTACTTAGTTTATCTGTGACCCATATAGGACTAGAATCCAGGGTTCCTGATTGATTTTTTAGTCCTTGTAGCCATATGTGGAGTCTTGGTTTGTGGGAGGAGGAGTAGGGAGGAAGGAGTACAAAAGAGAAAGGAAGGGGACCCCTCCCTAGTTATATTTACCATGTTTTGGCGCCTCTGCCTTCTTCGGAGTCGTATGAATTCCTTATGCTGACGAGATACAAAATTGACAGCAGCATACTCCAGTAGTGCAGCGAACACGAAGAGCAGGCACACAGCCATCCAGATGTCGATTGCCTTCACATAGGACACCTGTAACATCCACCAGCAGAGCAATCAACCTTCTTGGAGCCCTTCCATTGCCTATCCAGTGGTTCACCAGCCCATACCAACAGCCTGCTATTCTTCAGTTTTATCCTGAATTCCTTCTGGTGTTCAAAGAAGCTTTCCAGGATATGTCCCATTGCCTGAAGGCCCATATCAAAGAGATTGGGCTACCCATTAACCTTCACCTCTCTGCACTCTCCACCCTTCACTTCCATCTGCCTTTTCTTCCTGTACTTCTTTTTCTTTCTTTCTTTCTTCTTTTTGTACTTCTGTTCCTGCTTCTGCTTATTATTCTTTTCATTCTTTCCTTCTGTTTCTCTTCTTTCAATAAATAACAATGAACATGAACACTGCATTCTTTTGCTTTCTGTATTTCCTCGGGTCCTCACAGCTCTGATGGAAATTGGGCAGGGTTTGTTATTCCCATGTGAAACATGTGAGGACACTTGAAGCCTAAAGAGGAAAAGTCTTAGCCAAGATTACCCAGTGAGGAAGTGGCACTAGGATTTGGGGGGTTCTGGGCTTTCAATTTAGTGGCATTGCCATTTACCTAGGCTGCAGTCTCAATATCAGACTAGGAATTCCTTCCTTTCCCTCCTCCACTCCCATTGTTCTCTTGACTGTGATTTTTCCTGTTGATCTTTATGAGAGTCCCTGCTGAACAACTGAATTCAGTGGCCCAAGGAAATGCCACTCAATCCCTGGCTATGGACACTTCTCTAATTTCAAGGCACTGTTGTCATCTACCTATCTGGTTCCTAGGGCTCTCCTCCCACTACCTGCCTTGGAAGCCTTTAAGTACTTTTCTCTCCCATTTCTCTCTTGAAGATTGAACACTTACCTCTCCTAGAATGGGGTTTCAGCTGGATGGGCCTGGAAGGGTTATAGAATTTAGGTTTATGTAGTTCACCTCCTCAACCAGATAGACTCCCTACATAGTTTTCAGCTGCTGAGCCCACCTCATAGGGCTCCCCAGTAGGAGTAGGTTTCATGACAGACAACCTCTTTCACCAGCTACGTTGGGCAGTGAGGGTGCTACAGTCTACAGGTAAGGAGCTGGTCTCACTGGATAACCCTTCCACCTTAGTGGTTCTTAAGCTGCAATGCCCCCCACCCCACCTCCTCACCTGAGTGGCATTTAGCAATGTTTAGAAACATTTTTGATTGCTCAATTTTGGGAAGGGTTACTACTGGCATCTCATGGGTGAAGGGCAGGGATGCTGCTAAATATCCTACAATGCACAGGACTCCCCCCCCCCACACACACAACAATTATAAGGTCTAAAATGACAGTAGTACTAAAATTGAGAAAACCTGCTCTATCTCTTTTAAGGCAATTCCATTAAGATAATAGTGGTGGGTTACTGGGCACCCCTGATTAAGTATCCTTGGTGTTTCCACTTTGCCACCTATTAAGAGGGCAACCTATTTCATTCACCATCTCCCAGTCTCACTGTGTTCCCAGGGATGTCGAGTAAGTACTATGAAAATCCATAATGAGGTAATAACAAGGAAGGTCCACAAAGGGCTTTGGACCATCAAAAGAAAAGGACACCTTAAGCTACAGAAATAAAATCTTATTAATAATGAGTGTGTCAATAATGGAGTTGTATGGGAAGTGAAATTGCTGTGCCTTTCAGAAGCCCCTGAATTTGTTCCATCTCCTTCCTTATAGCTCCTACTAAATCTAATGTACAAACGCAAGGGAGCAGAAGCTCCCTGACTTACTCAGTCCCTTGCTTTGTAGGCTGGCCAATGAGTCTTTTTAGTTTGGGGTGAGTGCCTACATATTTTGCTTATTGACCAATGAGGCCACAAAAAGGTCATCAAAATCTGATGAGAAGGCACCAAATACTGCAAACAAACAATCCTCCAACAAAGTCCATTTTTTTCCCCAAATGATGAAACTAAGTGATTCCTAGGAGCAGACAGATTGTGCTTGCTCACAGGAGGGGACTGGAAAAGGAAGTTTTCTTGGCAAGAATAAGGCACTAATTGCAACCACCCTGGGTTAGAGAAGAATCTCCTTGCATGGCAGCTGCAGTAAACAAGGCACATTTCTAAGATCTGAACTACTTTTCTGCCTCTAGTCTTCTTACAAGGCTACTACCATAACACTACCATCACAACCCCACCTGGCCCTTTGGTCCTTGCCTAAGCCCCATCTGTCTTTCAGAGCCTCTTCAATACTCCTCTCCATTTAGGAAACATTTATAGGAAATACTTTCAGACAACTTCCTCTGAGACACCTGATCCTAATTTGAGCTTTGTCATCGTTTATCACTAGAGGCCTTTGGATTACCTCAAAAGTTTTCCAGCAACTGAAAAATAATTGGGAACATCAACGGCTGTCCTAGGTCCACTACTCCATTCTTTTCACCAAAACACCTAACAATTATAACAATATTGAACACTTACTGAGTGGTTATTAGGTGCCAAACATTGTTATCTATGTTAATACATTATTTATTTCTTGCAATAACCCTATTGAAGAGATAATATTCCCATGTCATAGGTAAAAAGACTGAGAGGATGAGGAATTTACTTAAGATTGCCATTGGTAAATGATGAGGCTGAGACCTAAACCAAAGCCTGCCTGACTCCAATCTCCTACTCTTTACCACTACACCAACCCCATGGCAAATTTGTAAATTCACCTTGGATGCCCTGATTACCCCCTGTTTAAGTCCCCTGTAAATATATTTTTAGTAATAAGCACTGGGAGATGGGATATCACAGAGCCTGGTTCCTATCAAGTCAAAATGAGAGGGCACAGGTTCACAGTAAGATCCACAAGGAACTATGTTGCTTTTGGTTCCCATTATTTCTCCATGGCCTAGAACGTTGCCTGGTGCATAGTATATGCTCAATAAATATTTATTGAATGGATGAATCAGCTTACTCCCTGATTTCTCAGAGCCTTGCTGACTATAAGGACATTGAGATGACTTCTAAATTCCCTACATGAAAACACAAGGCAGGGAGAACCTGGGCCCAGTCTCATAAGCACAAATCTCTCTGTGTAATCAAAGCATCACCAGGCCATAGACATTCAAAATCCACTGACTTTAACTGCCATTTACTACCTCAAAATTTCCTCACCCAAAAGAATGATATTGTCTCTTGAGGTCTTTGTAATAGTGTCCAGCTTCTGACGTAGTAAGAGACTGATGTTGGTTTAAAATCCATATATATATATAATTTTTCTTTTCTTATGGAACATGACATCGAAAAGGTCGTTCTACCTCTCTGGGCTATATTCACCTCATCTGTGCCACGAGGGAGTGGGACTTTATACTTGCTATGGTTCTTTGATTTTGGACATGCTAGTATTTCCTGATCAAAGTCAGAGTAAGTCAGATACTGTCTCTACTCATTCCTTAGCCAGACAACACCCACAACCCCAGCTTCCACATCTTTACCAATATCATTAGCAGTACGTTGTAGGGCAAGATAAAATTTTGGCCCCCTGTTCTTGCTCAATGGCTCTCATCTACCTTAAATCTAAGGCAAATAGAGAGCAGAAGAGAACAGGGGATGAAGGGGAAATGGGGAGCTCTATGGTAAGCAAGTTCCCTTGCATTTCTCTTCACCTTAGGCAAAGAGGCCCGGGAGCCAGAGCTCTGAGTTGTCATGGTGAGCACAGTGGTGATGCCTAGGCCCACACGGGCAGGGGCGGCATCCATGTTGATCCAGAAGGAGACCCAGGACAGGATGACGATGAGTAGGCTGGGGATGTACATCTGAATCAGATAGTAGCCCATCTGCCGCTCCAGGTGAAACTTTACCTCAATGCAGGTGAATTTTCCTGCAAAGAAAGAGGTGAGGTATCAGGCCTCAGGTCCCCAGCCTGGAGCTGAGCCTAAGGGGCAGGACTAGGGCATCCCTATCTATATAGGCCAGCCTCTGTGCACCTCAAGTGGGCAAATAAATGAGCTCTTCAAAATGGCCCCAGGGAGAACCAGATGTGTGTTCTGAGAAATTTCTCAGAGCAGCCATCAGGCTTGTCCTTTTGCTCTAAGCACTAATTTCCAGCAGAGGGCCTTCCACCTGACCACACAGCAAGAGGATTAAGAACAGAAGGGCTCCAGAGCCAGATTGCCTGGGTTTGAATACCGAATCTTGCACTGACTAACTGTGTGACCTCAGGCAAAACACCCAAGCTGTTTGAGCTTCAGTTTCCTTGTCTGTAAAACAGAGTAACAACAATATCCATTCCATCATTGTGGGAATTAAATTAAATGATGTATCTGGGGTGTTGAGCATATAATTTTTCTTTGGTATTTGGTACTATCATCATTATTAACAAAGCAATGAGTTTAGACTCTGCCCAAATCTCAGCAGCCTTGCTTGAGCTTGCTCGTACACCAGAAGCTCTCTAGCAACAAGGATTCACTGAAATAAACACTGCCTGTGTCTCAAGCAAGTGATAAGAGCTGGATAGGAAATATCTGGAAATAGTGTCCAACGGAGACCAACTCTGGGCAGTGAGCAGTGGGTGCCCAGAGAACATAGGCGACAGCATTCTATCCCACCAACAAAAAGTGCATTGGTCCAAAACACATGTACCAGTCCTCTGCCTACTCTGCCAGCCATCTTTATTTTTCCTAGCTTCCCATGCCCTCAGGCTAAGAAAACCTAGCTCAGAGCTTCTCCGCACCATAGAGGTTTAGGATAACCAAAGCAAAAAGCAGAGGATGTGTATGTTGCTATTTTATTTTGGACTAGACTTGCTCTTATCAAACCTGATTCCTCAAAGCTAGTAATTTAATCAATGATTGGTTTATGGCTTTGACATACTGTGTGATGCTGTGATCTCCTACTGTTCCTGAGTCCACCTCACTCCAGGCTTCTTGTTATGACATAGCTTTGCTAGGTGTCCATATTTTCTTTCCTTCCTTCCTTCCTTCATTTTATCTATCTATCTATCTATCTATCTATCCATCATCTATCTGTCTATCTATGTAGCTAGCTAGCTAGCTATCATTTTTGGTAGTGGTGGTTTTATTTTTAATTACAAAATTATTACTTGTTTAGTACAGGAAAAAAGTGAGAAGTAGAGAAAAATAATATTTATGAGCTCATATTTATCAAACCCCTACTAACTGCCCTGACTTTATATAGTTTATCTCATTTAAATTCCATAGCAACTATTTGGGGCAGGTAAAATTTTTTTTTAAAGATATATTTATTTGACAGACAGAGATCACAAGTAGGCAGAGAGGCAGGCAGAGAGAGAGGGAGAGGAGAAAGCAGGCTCCCTACCGAGCAGAGAGCCCGATGTAGGGCTTGATCCCAGGACCCTGGGATCACGATCTGAGCCAAAGGCGGAGGCTTTAACCCACTGAGCCACCCAGGCACCCTGGTAAAATTATTATTTCCCATTTTACATATAAGGATACTGAGGCTCAAAGAGATTAAGTTATGTTTCTCAAGGACACCCAACTAGTAGATAGTGGGGCCATAATTCAATCTCAGCTCTGACTCCAAAGATCTTAGTTTTGTCCATTGTATCACTCTACTTTAGAAACATTTAGTGCTATTTCCTCCCAGGGTTTTTAAACACATGCTTTTGGTTTGTTTCTTTTACCACAATATAATGATTCTGTGTATACAACTTTGAATCTTAACCTTTTCCACTTGTACTTTCCATGTTGATATAAGCAACTTGCAGTCATCCTTTTTAACATCTGGATAATATTCTACCAAGCAGGTGCACTGTGTAATTTATTTAACCTCTGTCCTATTGGTCATATTTAGAAGAGTGCCAAGTTTTTGCTAGTATAAGCACTGACCCAGTGATATTTTGGAATATTTCCTTTTAATAAATCCCAAGGGGTGGGATTCCTGGATCAACATGTAAGGAAAAAAAATAGCTTTTACAGTTTCTCCAAGTATGCCCCCTGGACCATCAGCAATAGAATCCTCAGGGTGCTTGTTCAAATGCAGATTTCTGGGCATCACTCCAAGTGCACATAATCAGAATCTCTGAGAGGCAGAACCCAGGAATCAACATTTTTACAGGCTCCCCACAGAAATGTACACCAGAGTTTGAAAACCATTGACCTATATACAAATTGCTAGTTTTCTCCCCAGTAAAGGTTCTGTCAATTTCCACTCCCAACAGCATTTTCTAAATTCAATGACCTGTTCCTCTCCATATGTTGCACATCCTACATATACAAACACACATATTAATGGGGCGGCACCCAGAGCATGTCAGCACACCAAGGAGGTATCCAGGATCTCTCCCCTTTAGTTTCTGGCCTCTATCTCAGGGTCATAGCACTTTGTATCCAAATTGCCAGGGGAACTGAGGAAAAAGTAACTCTTAGGGAAGCTGTGGGGAGCAGATGCTCAGGCTGGAAAGGCAACTTTTCTCCACATCTGGCCCACATTTCACACCTGGGAAAACAAGCCAGTTCAAGAGTTGGGCAATGGTGGCTGTGGTATGAGGTGTGGATGGTAAGCCTTCCAGTGCCCTAAAGTCTATTGCTTTCTGGTTCAGCACAGCCATTGGCTACTCCCAGATGTAGATTCCCCACCTTCCACACAAAGTTGGCCGCAGGACAGGTGAGACACTCCTGCCACTCACTGGCATAGGCCCATCTCCTCTGCAGCATGTGATAGGGACAAAAGGGCTTTGGAATTAGATCTGGATTTAAAGTCTAAGCCAGCTATTTTCTAGGTGTGTAACTTGGACAGTTTATTTAAAATGGGGCTGATAATTCCTACCATAATGAGATAAGGCATATGAAACACTTAGCACGTCTGACACAGATTGGACTTTCAGTAGAAGCTGGCTGCCTTGCCCCCTTCCCTCCCATCTGGAGGCCCTTCTGTGGCTCACACTAAGTAAAGATCTTGGTTTTTACCTGTGTTGTAGTGCTTGGTACAGTAGCCTAGATCCTTCTCATCTCGCAAGATAAACTGGGGCAGAGTCAGCCCCTCAGCCACTTGGACAGCAGGAGCATCTTCCAGCCACTCAAACACGAGGTCATTCATGGTGTAGCCAACTAAAAGTGACAGAGATGGCAGAGGGCTGCAGAATTTGGTGCTGGGTGGGGGTAGGGAGAGAGTTAGAACTAGCAGGAAAGAGCGGATGAGGAGGTAAGGCCTGGGTTTTTGGAGCTTCGTGTTCATCTTGGAAAGGGAAGCCTTTCTGAAGGGGGTACTTGGTCAATTGTCTCATAGGCCCATCCTCACTAGGTAAATCAGAAAGATTCCAGACTCCTCTTCTACCTAGTTCTCAAGCTTTAGAGAGGCACAGAGAGAAATTTTTCTGGCAGACCTAGAAAACAGGTCAAAAGCATTGGAATGATGTCAAGGAACACAGCTGAGAACCTCCTGCCATATCTCAAACCAACGGGAGTAAGCATGTGTACTGGCCACATGTCTTGAGCTGAGCCAGCCTCAGATCTAGGGCTTCTGCCACCTCATCCCAGAGAGGAAAGAGCTGTTTATACCTTGTCAGTCATGCATGGGACAATGTGCACACCACAGACTCCTAGCCAGGGCCCTGAACTGGGGCAGACTGAGAGTTAACATCTGAACATGACAAGTTGCTCACAGATACTTAGCAGTTTGTGAAAGCTCCTGCCCATATATGTGACCATACTCACACATGTCAAGTAGAAATGGGAGAAGAAACACTGAGGCTCACAGATGTGCAATGTCAGGCCTTGACTCAAAGTAGCTATGTGACTTTGGGTAAGTCATTTCCTTTCCTCTAAAATGCTCCACCTACTTTTCAGGATTGTTGTGAGGGGGCAATAAGAACCTGGATATGAAAGTGGTTTATGAACTCTAAAGAGCTAGCCACATAGGACACATTCTACCCATCATTGTTATTATATGCTGGAAACAGCCTGACAAAACTTCTTCTCTGAGGATTAAGCTGGTGTGTATTGATCTCAGAGTCTCACCTTACCCAGGAGATGGCAAAGGAGTGCACATAGCTGATGGTCCAGTCTTGTTGTCCATTAACTGTTCTGCATTTAGAGCAGCCCCTATAAGCTGGCTTCCCTGTGACAGAGTAGCCCTTGGCTGACCTTGCCACCCTGGATGCTGTACTAGACTTAGAACCATCTTCTCCAAATTCTCTACAGAAGTTTTCTGCGTTCATGCAGAATCAGGGTTCAAGAGTACCCCCTCTGCCAACTCTGGCATTTTTATAGGTATCTTGAATGTCTTAACTCAGGGGGAGTAAAAGTAGAATTACCTCAGGCACTGTGAGAGGAATATCTTTGGGCAGATGAGGTGTCCTTCAAATGCCCACCCCCCATAACCAACACAGGCACATTTGAATGTAAAGCTGGTGCCGTCCCATTCCCCAGTACTGTGGAATAACCAAACCAGTAAATAGTGTGAGGATAAAAAAACACACTGGGTTGGGTGTTAGTGAGTCCTGGCTCCTAGTCTCATCCTTGCCAACAGCTGACCATGTGTGAGTAAGTCCCTACTCTGGGTTGCCTTTTTCTCATTTGGAATATCATGGAATGGGGTTAACTACCTGGTATTCCAGCCCTTGCTCTGAGACTCTCTATAGACACTTACAGCTCTCCAGCTGCATGGTGCATGTCTGGATGTCCATGGGGAAGTTCTTGAGGTCCATTGGGCAAGACAAAATGAGGGTCAGCCTGCCAGAGACAGTAGAAAAGAAGTGATGTCAATTTTCTGGGGCCTGGCACAGCACAGGGGACCCTCTTCCGACCCCTCATCCTCCATTTGGCTTTCTCCTCTTGACCCAAACTCTCCTGGCTGTACACCAGGTGTACCTGATGCTGTAGAGCACATTCCCATTCTTGAAGATGCGTAGTAACTTATTGTCTGTGGTCACCTCATGGAAGCTGGCCCCTTTCTCATTGGCAAAGAATAGGTCTGGCTTCCAGATAGAATCCAGCATAGAGGGATCAAGGTCCAAAGAGTCATCAGGATATTCTTGGTAGGCTAGGCGCAGATCATTCCACTGCTGCCGCAAGAAGACATTCACCCGATAGTCCTGAGAGGATGCACAGATGGGCCCATCAGAGGCAATGCTATTCCAGGGGCCCAGCAAGCCTACATAGGCAGGAGAGCCTTGAGGAGGAAATGCTGGGAGTACATCTCAGGGGCAGTGGGCATTTTGCACTGAAGAAGGAGCCTGCTTTGGGCTGATATAGCAAAGATGGGAAGGGAAAAAACATTTATTAATCACTTACTATGAGCTGGGTGTTCTGCTAAGTGCGCTTACTTTATATGTATTATCTCATTTAAATCTCATGCCAACACTGTGAGGAGGGTGCTGTTATGATCCCTACTTTATAGATGAGGAAACAGAAACAATGATATATTTAAATAACCTGTCACATAGCTATTAGATGGTAGAGTCAAGATTTGAACACAGGTCTGTCTGATTCCAAAGTCTGTGCTCTGTACCAAGCTACCTCCCATGCTTGACCATCTGTTTCTTAGGCTAGTTTGCCTTTGGCCACTGAAACCCAGTCTGGGGAAAGATATCTCCCAGTGACCAACTTCAGACATCCCATGGCTTTAGCCATGACCACAAAACAGGGAGAGGACAGCAGAGGGAGGAAAGGCTCGATAACTAGTGGGCTTCTCCCATTCAAGCTAGAATGGAAGCAGGGAACAGAGATACTCCTTACCATAGTAGTCTCAGTGACAGAGCCAAAACTGTTGATGAAGATGTTGCAAGTCACGTTCACAGGTGGGCCTAGGGGTGGCAAAACACAGCCATATTGGCAGGGCATTCCAGGATGCTGAGAGTAGTTTCCAGGACTCCCTCCCTGAACTTGAGGCCAGGGCACTGCTAGAAGGCAGTGCCAGTTGCATAGACCCATAAGCAATAGGGAGGGGAAGCTCCTTCTGAACTGAAACAGCTCAGTACTTCCAGCCTCCTGTCCTTGGGGTAGGCAATAGTGGCTGGGATGGCAGTATGTTCCCAAAAGGGGTGGCGGAAGGAAGGGTTTTTGTAGGATGAATGCTCCTTACCTTTAAAATTGGGTCGAATTCGAGCATCATATCCAGATGTTCGCCCCATAAGCTTGTCCAGAAAATCAGAGGGGGACATGGGCTGAGGTCCCTTGGTCCCAGATTTGACTTCCTCTTTTGCCAAGGCCACTCTGGACAGGTAAGATAAAGAAGTCTGAAGCCAGTTGTATTCTACATTTATCACAGACCCTTTTCTTTCCCGTCCCCACATACCTCTGGCTGTTCTCCCCATCAGGCAGGAAGATAGGAGAAGATGGGTCTCTGGGTACCCATTTACAAAACAAGGAAAACAGAAACAGCCATAAGCCAACACTGCAGGTCAGTAGTTCTAAAAATGTGCTTTCACTTATATGAGATCTTTTTTATCGTCACAATTCTCAGTGTGATGAGTGCAAAGACAGATGAGAAAAGTGACTTGTGGGATTATAAATTGGAACAGCCACTCTAGAAAATAGTATGGAGTTTCCTCAAAAAACTAAAACTAGAACAACCATATAATCCAGTAATCCCACTTCTGGGAATATATCCAAGGAAAATTAAAACACTAATTCAAAAAGATATATGCACCCCCATGCTTATCGCAGCATTATTTACAATAGCCAAGATAAGGAAACAATTCAAGTGTACTTCAATGGATAAATGGATAAAGAAAATGTGATATAATATATACATACATACATACACACATACATACATACACACATACATACACACAATGGAATACTATTCAGCCATGAAAAGAAGGAAATCCTGCCATTTGCAACAACATGGACATTGAAAGCATTATACTGTGTGCAGTAAGTCACACAAAGACAAACAAATATTGTGTGATCTCATTTATATGTGGAATCTAATAAACAAACCAAAAGAGGAGTGACCTAGTCAGTCTCAAGGCTGGCGAGTGACAGGATCAGGGCTCAAACCCAAGGGGCTGAGGCCTCATCCAGTATTCTCTTTCTAAAGGTGCCTTAAAAGCACTCAAAGAAGAATTACAATTCCCTGCAAATAATGTGGCTGTAGCAGGGTTGTGATTTAACCAAGGATGGTAAGGACTCAAGGGCAATCAGTATCTCTGAGAGTTGGTTTCCATTGCTTGGCCTTCATGCTGAACTGCTCAGGAGCTGGGGACCCAGCTTCTAGAGAGGGAGGTTTGGCTTCCAGTGTTTGCTCCAGCAGGAAACTATATTTTATTTTTGTACCATTCATAAAAATGAACTTGAAGTGGGCTATATTAACACATAATGTATTATTTGTTTCAGAGGTACAGGTCTGTGATTCATCAGTCTTACACAATTCACAGCACTCACCATAGCACATACCTTCCCCAATGTCCATCACCTAGCCATCCCATCCCTCCCACTCCCCTCCACTCCAGCAACCCTCAGTTTGTTTCCTGAGATTAAGAGTCTCTTCTGGAGTCATGAACAGACATTTCTGCAAAAAAGACATCCAAATGGCCAACAGACACATGAAAAAGTGCTCAACATCACTCAGCATCAGGAAAATACAAGTCAAAACCACAGTGAGATACCACCTCACACCAGTCAGAATGGCTAAAATTAACAAGTCAGGAAATGACATGCTGGTGAGGATGCGGAGAAAGGGGAACCCTCCTCCACTGTTGGTAGGAATGCAAGCTGGTGCAACCACTCTGGAAAACAGCATGGAGGTTCCTCAAAAAGTTGAAAATAGAGCTACCTTATGACCCAGGAATTGCACTACTGGGTATTTACCCTAAAGATACAAACGTAGTGATCCGAAGGTGCATGTGCACCCGAATGTTTATAGCAGCAATGTCCAGAATAGCCAAACTATGGAAAGAACCTAGATGTCCATCAACAGATGAATGGATAAAGAATATGTGGTATATATACCACATCTTATATTGTGTGTACACCACACACACACACACACACACACACACACACACACACACACAGTGGAATACTTTGCAGCCATTAAAAAAAACCCAAAATCTTGCCATTTGCAACGATGTGGATGGAACTAGAGGGTATTATGCTAAGTGAAATAAGTCAATCAGAGAAAGACAATTATCATATGATCTCTCTGATATGAGGAATTTGAGAGGCAGGGCAGAGGGTTGTGGAGGTTAGGGAGGGAAAAAATGACACAAGATGGGACCAGGGAGGGAGACAAACCATAGGAGACTCTTAATCTCAGGAAACAAACTGAGGGTTGCTGGGGGGTGTGGGGTGGAGGGATAGGGTGGTTGGGTTATGGACATTAGGCAGGGTATGTGCTGTGGTGAGTGCTGTGAATTGTGTAAGACTGATGATTCACAGACCTGTACCCCTGAAGCAAATAATACATTATATGTTAATTTTAAAAAAGATTCTCTTCTGGTTTGTCTCCCTCTCTGGTTTTGTCTTGTTTTGTTACTTCCTGTCTTCCCCTATGATCCTCTGCCTTGTTTCTCAAATTCCATATATCAGTGAGATCATATAATTGTCTTTCTCTGATTGACTTATTTCATTTAGCATAATACCCTCTAGTTCTAACCACATTGTTGCAAATGGCAAGATTTCATTTTGATGGTTGCATAATATTCCATTGTTTGTATATGTGTGTGTGTATGTGTGTGTATATGTGTATGTATATATATATATATATATATATATATATATATATATATATACATACATATATATACTTCTTCTTTACCCAGTCATCTGTCAGTGGACATCTAGGCTTCTTCCATAGTTTGGCTATTGTGGACATTGCTGCTATAAACATTGGGCTGCACGTGCCCCTTCAGTTCACTACATTTGTATCTTTGGGGTAAATTCCCAGTAGTGCAATTGCTGGATTGTAGAGTAGCTCTATTTTCAACTTTTTGAGGAACCTCCATACTGTTTTCCAGAGTGGCTGCACTAGAGGAAACTATGTTTTGAGCTGGACCTCAGTTCATGGTTGGGGCAGCAGCAGGATTGTAAACTCACTTTGACAACAAAATAGGTGAATAAGCAGGGCTCTAGGAGCATGAGAAGAACTTCCAAGTAGGATGACTACACCAAGAAGGTCAATTTCCATCTTTTCCCCCTAACAACTTGATTTTGAGTAAGGGACCAGTGTGCTTTGTCCTAACCTCGAGGCCGGCCCCTTCTCCCCTGACAAGTTTCTTTCTAAGAGCAGCAACACCCCTTCCACATGCTTGCTTATCTGCTTACCAGCCAACAGCTAGACTAGGGACTAGAACCTCAGCCTTGAAGGGCAGGTTGGGGCTCAGGGCTGAGCTCAGGCTGAAATCCTCGCTGGGTCTGGTCCTTCTGCTCCATCCTGCCACCACCATTGTGCTAGCCACCAGAGCTAGCTCCCCCACTGCCACTAGTGTAGCCACACTCTGGGGCAGGGAGGGAGGGTGACTGCTGTCCTTCTGGGTCCAGCTCTCTTTGAGCCAATGGCCCCCTGTTTACATGTTTACATCTATGTACCATCTGAGGCCATATAGATCATATGCACCATGAGCCATTAAATAATAAGAATAACCAAGGCACCATGCTATGCACTTTACTTACCTTACCTCGTTTAGTTCTCACATCGGTCCTCCCAGATGAGGGTTATTATTATTCCCCTTATATAGATGAAGAGACTGAGGATCAGCAAGTAAAGTGACTTATTTGTGATCATATGGCTAGTAAATGGTAAAGCCAAGATTCTAACCCAGAGCTTTTGACTTCAGAACTAAGTCCATCTACTACAATGCCAGGGTAGGCTGCCAAGGAACCAGAGTGGGAGAAGTTCAGTGGAAGACACATCCTGACCTCCTAGAATTCTGCCTTCTTGAATCCTCTGAACAGGAGGAAGCCCTTACACTGGGAACAGAGGCCACTGTGGCCCCAATTGGGGCTGGCAGAGCAGGTGGCTTAAGCAGGCTCTGAAAATCCAAGGCGGGTGGCAGTGGTGCTAGTGCAGCAGAAGTCTGTGGCTTCACCACAGGGTGTCCTTGCTGGCCAGGTGCTGCTCCTGGCTGCCTGCCACCTGCCTGCTGGGAGGACACATGGCCCTGTACATAGAGCAGCCAGACCCTTGCCACTGTCTTCAGCCCCATGCTAAGGTCACCTCTCCCGGTAGTCCCAGCCCCAGGACCCTGTGACAGGCTGTGGGCTCAGCTGTCTTGGTCCCCAACTTCTGTCACAGAATTCTTTTCTGGGGCTGCCTTGTCTATGGTCCTGAAAGCAGAGTCCGTGTACAGCCACTTTTTCCTCCCTTTCATTCCTGGAAAGTCCCCAGTACTAGCAGGACATAGGAGGCTCTGGAGCTGAAAAGTCTGGCTCAGGCAAGGCCCTGGGGTGGGGTAGGGGAGAACACTGATTCTGATACTGGGTGCTTGAGTGACCTTGGACAGGTCACTCCGCATCTCTAAGAATCAGTTTCCATATGCACAATGAAGTATTCGAACTCAAGACTTCCTAAGATCCTGCCTTGCTGTATTTGCTCAAGTAGGAATGCTGCCACCAAAGCTTGGGTCTTGAGGCAGTCTCCCCTCCAGGAGGGCCAATGAGCGCCCCCTGCATTCCCCCTTCTGCCTGCATCCTCCTACCAACTGCAGCTGAGCTGCCATTCTACTTTGAGCTACTTTTCGCTCTTAGGAAGTTTGCCACCTCACACATATTGGATCCCTGCCTTCCTCCCAGCCAATGTGTCTGCAAGCAGTGAGGCAGGAGGCGCCTCAGAATCAAGCTGTCTCAGTGTGCTCCTTGAAGTAAGAGGAGGAAGAGGTCTGTTGCAGTGGTACTTGGCCCCTCCACTCTTCTTAGGACCAGGTCAGCCTAAGCCACAGTCATCTTTCCTACTCAACTCACCTGGTCCATCTTGACTGGCTCCTGGTCTCATGAGAAAATGGGGACAAGGAGGGGAACATTTACAGGGAGTCCAAAGCATGTCTTGCTATCATAAACCCAGGAAATGACTGCACTGAGTGCCCCTTCGGGACAGGAAGCAGCCATGTGTGCACTGGCTGGGTGACAGCAGAGGGCCAAGGTTTGCTCAGCCCAGCTTCCTCCTGATATGGTTTAAGGCAAACCCTTTCTACCTGAAGCCTCTTTGGTTGGTGTCATTTTTAGGAATCTGAGCAGTGTGTGGCCATGATGGTAGGAGATAGGCAAAGAAGGCAAGACAAATGGCCTCTGTTCTGGGGCTCAGCTACCTTACCCCTACCCAGGCCCAGGAAACTCTCACCCATGCAGAAGGCTTCCCACCAGCTCTGGGGCTTTGGCATTCCTCGTGAAAGGCTCCTGGGTCCTGGTTAGGAGAGGGTGTGTCCTTCTCTGGAGCCCTCTGGATTGTGGGCTTTTTGTAAACATAGAGGAAACTGTGCCAGATGCCCCTGCTGCCCCAGGCCAGTGTTTGCATGCACCTCCTTCTCACCCCGACTCAGCTCACCTGAGGAGGACCTGCCCTGGCAGGGTCCAGAGGAGAAGTAAGGAGAGGGTTGCAGGAACAAGAGTTGTCATTCTGCAGGGACCCTGGAGCCCTTTGTCAGCCTGGCTGCCAAGGTGAGAGGGATATCCCAGCAGGAGGAATGCTGCAGAAAGTACAGATAGAGCCTTCCTCCAACTTGGTCTGCTCACAAAGAGCCCATTGGGCTAGGAGTTGTGCGCTCTCTCTCCTCTTCTGCTCTCTTCTCTCTGCCCTGCCGTTACCAGTCAGGGGCCAGAACTATTCCCCTGGAAATGATCCTGACACAGATAACCCTACCGGCTCCTGCTCTGACTCGCCTGGGGTTCCGGAGGCCCTTACCCCGTCTGCCAGGGAGCTGAAGGAGATTCTCTTTGGGCAGCAATCTCCAAACCCTGGAGAGTCTTGGAGGGGAGGAAGGAAGGAGAATGGGAGGAAGATGTTTCCCTCCCTCTCACCTTCCCCTGGATGCACCCTCCGAAAGCAGCAATTTAAAGGCACAGTCTCTGGCAGTGGAATGGGGTTCAGAGCAGGTCGGGTCCATGTGCGGGGAGGAGCTTGGGCTGCCTTTGCTGCAGGGAGAGGGCTGGAGGTGTGCTGTCCATCTTCTAACTCTCCAGCTGGAGGAGTGCATGCAGGCTGCACTGCTCCCAGCTCCCCAGCAGCATCCCTTTTAGCCTGGAGCTAAGCTGGAACATTTTTTTCCCTAATGTTCTAATGTCCTAATGATTTTTATAAGGGGGAAAAAGACCTGAGAGGATTTAGGCAGAGTCACTAGGTTTTCTCAGTCTGACAGCTTCAGGTTTGAGAGGAGGCCAGAAGGAGGCGGAGGACAGGGGCGGGTTTTCCTCAACCCTCTGGATGGAGGCACAGGGCATGGATGATATAGAGGAACTTTGGAATCTCCTTCATATGGGGGTCTGCCTATCTGTCAGTCTGTCCATCTGTCTTTCTACCTGCTCCATCTCCTTCAGCCTTGTAGTTGCCCATCCCTTTCCCTTCCTGCTTTCCTCCTTCAGGTTGTCTCTGGTCAGCTTGGACAGCCCTCCATAGTTCTTGGAGACCTCCTTTCCCTGATACCCTTCCTCCAGCCCAGCTTGGCTATGGGAAGGGATAGGTGTCCCTGGCAGGGTCACATCAGGCCTGGCACACAGCAAGCTTTGTAAGCTTCAGAGGAGTTGAGGGGGCCAAGAGCGAAGACCTGGTCATCTATCCCTGGATGGTTGAGAGAGGCCTGGAGGGTGAGTCTCTCTCCCTCTCCTCCCTGGCCTCTGCCTATGTGCTAATAGAACCCGGGTGCTTTAGCTGCCACATGTCTTTTGGTAGACCCTTCCCCAGACTTGCCCAGGCAGCAGCTCAGCTGCTCTGGGACTTCCCCCAGTGCCTCTCCCTCTCTCTTTTCCTCCACTCTCTTCCCCCATCTCCCTGATGCTTTTATCCATCTCTCCTCTCCATGTCCATGTCCCTCCTTGTTTCTTCTCTGGGTCTCACTTTCAGAGTCTGTCTCCCCCTCTTCTTTGGCCCTCACTTTCTCTCCATCTCCGGTTTCTCTCTCAACCTCCCTGTTATCTCTATTCTCTCACTCTCTTCTAAATTTCAACACTGAGAAGCCAAGGGGTTTCATTTCTTCTTTGACAGAAACCCTCACATCAGCTCTGCTGAGTTCTGAGTGTGTACAGGGGAAGGGAAAGTGCTTCTTTACGGTGTCAGTTCTAGAGCTGATGGCAGCCCCACCCCCTCAGCATCACCAGATGGGGTTTTTGCGGGGTTTCAAGATCTAGGGGGGCCCATTGGGTTGTTGGAGGGAGTAATGATGACAATGTAACAACTTGCACTGCCTCTCCTTTGGGCTGCATTATTTCAGAGGAAGGATTTTTAAATCACAAATGACAGAGAAAGATCATTTTAAACAATACACAGTGAAAGGTTGATGGGGGACTTTGGGCTTTTGGAATTGGGACTAAAGACATTACAAGCCTCAACTAACGTTTATATGGCCAGTAAATACAAAAACCCCAAAGTACTAATTTTCCTAAAAATTTTTAGGAAAGTTTTTAGCATTTTTAGCAGTCCCTTTGCCTGTTCACCCTCCATCCTTGTTTCTGGTAAGCATCACAATGCCCACTCACAGGCTGAAGGCCAGAAGTAAGCTTTATAGAACCTTTCCTGGTGAAGCTCCTGATTAGGAAACTAAGGGCAGGTCGGGGTGTGGGGAGGCACTTGTCTCCTCTGCATAATTCACACCTTGTACCAAACCTCATCATGTCATTTCCCCTGCCTCAATGGTTCCCTCTTGTTCTCAAGCTGAAGTTCAAGGTGCTGCATGATCTGGTCACTCTGCTTGTCCCACTGATGTGTCTAGAGTCACCTTTCTCTCCAGCTTCTGGGTAGTTTCACATGTTCCCTCTACCGAAATACTTTTTCTGCCACTCTTACCTGTTCTTGTAAACTAAGCTTTATTTTCACTTTCTCAAGAAAGACTTCTTGAAGTACCCTCACCCGCACTCAAGTCTGGGTTAAGAGACCTTCCAGTGTGTTCCCACAGGACCCTGGTCTTCCCCCTTCACAGCACCCATCACATTTAGCTACCTGCTTACTTACCTCTTTCCGCTGCCAGATCATGAGCTCCCTGAGGGCAGAGACATATTATCCATCAACTTCCTGGGTCCCAGCCTAGAGCATGGCACATTATAGGTAATTAGTGTATGTTTCTTATAAGATGCATCCTGGGCACTCAGAAATGCTTTCCCGAGCCCAGTGCCTCTGCATCTTTGTCAAGCTAGAATGACGAGTTTGACACTCAGAGAGAGGGCCAGCATGAGATAATGGTAATAAAGAGAAAGGAGGAAGCTGCTTTTATTCCCTTGCCCCTTAGGCCTGTGGCCTCATACTCAGTCATCTGAAATTTTTGGCTAATGGAAATCATAGGCCCCTGGGGGACTGGTGCATTGTCTCAGTTTTGCTTCTTGTGTGCACCATGGGATCCCTGAGTGGTGAAAGCATAACAGGGTCAGCTTGCTGGGGGAAAGATCCTTTCTTAGGAGAGGCTGCAGGGATGACCAAATGTGTGGCTGGCATGATGAAGGGGTATGGCTTTCCTAGGGTTCTGAAAACCAACTTTTTGGGAGAAGAAGGGAAGGAGAGGTGGCAAAGAATTGGGTAATTTCTCCTAGGAATTGACAAGAGGCAGGGGAGATGCCCATTCAAGAGTTCCTGTGCTAACAGGAAGCCACACTCTCTGAAGATGACTTTAGCATTTTCTGACCTGAGAAGGGTACAAAGTTGTGTTCAGCCTTGCCCCATAACTCTTTTCTCTTCTTATCATCAACCTATGATGGATATGATTCTCCACATTCCAAAATGTTCATACCCTTTTTCTGTTTTGCAACTGACTGTCACATCAGCCCAGAGAACTGGCTGTATTGTGATGTTGAGGTCGTGTAGAAGCTATGGTAGGTAAAATGTTTTTCAGGATGAAAAATATTCCATCATGAAAAAACTACTGGGCTGCTAAAAATGGATTAAGCACATTTTCATAAATGTTTCATTCCAGGAAAGAGTCTGTCACATTTCAGCCCTATGCAAGGAAAATTGCCATTGTGCCCTCCTGAGAAGCAGGCTTCCTGAAACCTCAGTCTGAGGGGAGCATATCTGTTGGGTTGGGTATTATTTGGTTAGTTTAGTGATTTCTAGGGCTTACTTTTGGAGACAAGTTTGGAGAATCATTTGGCATACCTTCCTACACCCAACCCCCTTATATTGCCTATCCCACTTATTGAAGTAGAAACTGGTTTGAGGGGTACTTCAAAAGGCAAGATCTGTCCCCAGTCTGATGAAATACACAGAGCATTAGGTACTTCTCAGAAGCATTGAGATAAGAAGTTTTTTTGGTGGTGGTGGTGGTGGTGGTGGTGGTGAGGGGGGTGAAATAAAAGACAAATGCCTTTTAAAAAATCTGCTGACAACGCCCAGGGTGTTTCAGTTGGCTCTCCATGGTGCAAGGCTGCATCTTTTTGCTGTGTGTGAGTTTTTCTTTTCAGGGTCATTTTCAACCTCCAACTATGTGACAGTTTACTCGAAAGTGGAGGCTCAATTTCTGGTGCTAAAGGAGCACTGTGGGCAGAGGTGGGAAGCCCCTTTGCCCTCCGACTCAAGGAGACATGCATAACGTGTGTGGGAATTAGCGGCACTGGGAGCTTCACAGTCATCAACTCAGCTGGAAGAAGGAAGAACAAAATGGCAGTTGTGTTAGACGTGTTCTGTGCTCTCCTAAGGCTTTTGGAGAGTGACAGTTTTAAGTCTGATGTTTCAAAGATAAGCCTTTCTTCTTTTTATGGAATATATCAGGCATGGGTTTTATAGACAGAGCCCAAGGTATCTAAACTTGGGGGGAGCCTGTAGAGATATTTACTGAGCTCCTCCCAGTCCTCAAAGAAAAACTAGGTATTAACACCAGGATAGCACCAGTGAGGAATGGTACCACCTCTGCTGTTAGGCTTTCTGTTTTGTCTTCAGGGGACAACAGAGATGTGGGCTCCAGCCAAGGGAGGTGCATTGGATAGCGCACAGGTATCCATCATTTATCCCCCGCTGGACCCTCAGAATCATTCCTCATCCAATCAGCCACTTGAGAGCAATTCACTTGGCATGCAGGAGATTTTCATTAAGGTTTCCCACAGAGTTTACATTGACTCTCCTTCTCTCCTGGCTCTCATAACTCTGAAACATTCTTTTTTAGAGACAGTAAGACCATGTCGTGCCTCTAGCCTTGAAAGTGAATTGTTTTTTGCTTGTGATCAAGCTCATAAATATCTTATTTCACTCATTTGGAAATTGTGATCATCCATGCCCTGTAAGGTGTGAAGCCCTTACATAACCTAAAAGGAACAGAACTTGGAAAGATGAATAAATATTTACTGTTTGGAATGGGTCACTTTCCCACCAATTCACACATGTGCTCAACAAATATTTATTGAGTGCAAATCATATGCCAGATGTTCTAGGTGGTGGACATATAGCAGTGAACAAAGCAGATGAAGTCCATGCCCTTATGCAGTTTACGTTCCAGTGGGATACTAATATAATTCCTTCCCAAAGAAGGTTCT